TCTAGTGAGGAGGTGTCCCTGCCCAGGGCAGGGGGTTGGGACTGGATGATCTCTAAGGTCCATTCCAACCCCTAAATTCTATGATTCTATGAAGAGCAGACAGACCCCATGCCCTTATTATGTGTTGAATAGGTTCCTAGTGCACAGTCCAATAAACATATTGATATAAACAAGAATGCACTGTATCAGGCCATATCTAGCTCTAGACAAACACTATTGCACATATATTCTATCCCCCCATCCAAACAAGCTCTTTGGATTATTCATTGTGATGATTTACAATGCTCAGCACCTGTTACCTCAGGCATTAATTTATGCATGCACTGCTGCAGAAGACAGCAGTGATTAGCTGTTCTACAGGTCACAAAGAGGCTTCTCATTTCACAGAATCATGGAGTAATCAGAGCTGGAAGGGACCCTTGACGATCAGCTGAAGGCTGATTAGCAGAGAGACAAATGAATCAGGAAGGAAACAGAGTTCAGCATCTGTTTGTGGAATTCAGCCTTGGTGTGCAAGACTGCTGGGAAAAAAAATCATCCTTGCATCCATGCATCCTTGCATGGAAAACAAAGCAAGAGAACATCAAACTGCTACACTGAGTCAAAGATCAGGAACAGAGAAATTATATTTACTTGCATTTCTTATAAACAGCTCTTGAATCCACATACTAAAATATTGCTGCTTCTGAAGGACAAACCAGTCTGGCAACTGTCTCCAACCTGCCTCAAAGGCATAGGACTTTTCCAAAAAGCTGATGTGTGGGTGGATTATGCTCCTGTAATTCTACCACATGATACTTTGTTTTTCCTCTAAAGCTGAATAGCTTTATTTTTCCATAACTCCCTGTACTAAGGTGTAATTTTATGAAGCTAAGATGACCTTAAAGTAAACTTATTAGTACGAATGTTATCCTATGCTGAGCTTTCAATTATTGTCAGCAACATCTTGGCCATCAAGATTGCAGCACTAGCTTGTGCATGTCTACCAGAGCAGTTACTCACCATAAAGCTCCAGTGGTCAGAGAGATGTGGTGTATTCAGGGAAATATTCCTTGGGTCCAGT